AATTCTAAATGAAATTATATTAATTTTTAAAAATACAATTCATGAGACTGGGTGTGGTTTAGCACACCTGTAGTCCCAGCACTTGGGAGGCTGAAAACAGGAGGATCACTGTGAGTCCAATCTGTGTAGCAAGGCCCTGTAGACCCTGTACTAAATACATAAAAAATAAAATAACAATAAAACATACAATTCTTATTATCAATTAATGGTACCTTGTGTGTTACAGTATTTTGCAAGAGTTTCATAGCAGTTGCTGAAATTAACACCAGGTGTGGTGACACCCATCTGTTGTCCCATAACTCTGGGAAACTGAAGCAGGAGGATCACAAGTTGGTTTTTTTGTTTGTTTTGCGGAACTGGGGATTGAACTCAGGCCCTTGCGCTTGCCAGGGAAGCACTTATTCCACTGAGCCATATCCGCAGCCCCAGGATCACAAGTTTAAACCCAGTCTGGGAGATTTAGCAACTTAATGAGACCTTGTCTCAAAATGTAAAGATCAGGGGGCTTGCCCATTACCTCAGCTGTTTAAGTGTCTGCTTAAGGGAAGGCAGTCAGCCTCAGGATACTGTGGTTTGATCCCCAGATCCTCATGCCTTACCAGACCTGCCCTTAAGGCATCCTGAGCCAGCCCCCCCCCCACCCCTGCAAAAAAGAATAATAAAATAAATCCTTCAAAATGTAAAGATCAGAAAAGTGCTGGGAGTGGAGCTCTCACTGCCAAGGCCCCAGGTTCAATTCCCACTCTAATAAAAAGTCTCAGAAAAGGAAAGAGCAAGAGGACCGGGAGATGGGGCAGGTGCAGACAAGAGTTGGGCCCTGTCACGTCCCTGCTCCAGCTCCCCTTCAGAAGTATGGCTATGCACCCAGCCTCCCAGCAGCTGTGCCAGGAGCCGGGCTGCCCCAGGTGTGGACTCTGTGGGCCGGGTTTGAGGCAGCCTGGCCAGACCAGTTCTGTCTGCAGTGTCGGGGCCTCGGGGTTGACACAGCAAGGGGTGGAGTCATCCAGAGCCTCAGTGCTCAGACGCAGGGCCCCACAGTGCAGCAGCACAGGGTGGTTAGCACCCAGCCCCAGGAGGACACAGGACAGCTGTGTTCTGCACACTGCCCTGCACCACTGCCAGCCAAGTCCACTTGGATTCGGGCAGTGGAGGGAGGAAAAATGCAGGAGGCCCATTAATGCAGCTGCCACAGATTCTGTATTCCTGCCACCGCGAATGAAGTCCCCATCATGGGACAGGGTGAAGGCCCTGATGACAGCTTCTGTGGGGAGCAGAGCAGGCTGGTCGCCTCTGCTGAGCTGCTTGCCTCTGCCCTGGGAGAGTAGAGCAGCCTCCTTGGCTGTGGCCACAGGACTGCATTCTGGTCTCCACTTGTGAAAACTGAAATTTGAACTTTTCATACTTACTGAGTATTTTAAAGTGTTCTTCTTTAAAAATAAACATTTGCAGGTGTAAGAATAGCCTATACACAAACAGGAGCTGGAGCCAGCTGGAGCGGTGCTCACAGTAATGCCAGCACTCGGGAGACAGAGGCTGCAGCCTGGGCTACCCAGTGAGCCAGAGGCCAGCCTGAGCTGCGCAGAGACAGCCTGCCTCAAAAAAGGAAGGAAGGAGGGAAGGAAGGAAGGAAGGGAGACAGCAAAAGTGAGTGAGCGAGAGCGGGAAGAGGGAGTGGCGAGGGTTGGTTTACACCATCTGACCTTTTAATGTTTGAAACTCTGGAATATCTCAAGTGGAGTTAAACGTTAAGACTGTGTGAGCCGGTGAAACACAGAAATGATGTCAAGTTTCTCGTTTGTTTTAACATGAATTGGTGAAGATATAATCTAGAAATCCCAGTCTTATCTTTGTTCTGGTCCACAGCATTTATTCTTTATTAATTGGGTCAACCTATTTACACTTCTAGGTGGAAACGTGCGTGATTTATTTTTATTGGAACTCAGAAATAAAAAGGACAGATAAAATGTGCTTCCTCCCTAAGTTCCTAGAAGAATGCATTGTTTCATATTTTTAAAATAAATACTCCGGGCTGAGGGTGCAGCTCCGTGGCGGAGCACCCCACCCGGTGCCAGGGCCTGGGTTTGATCCCCAGCATTGTAAGTAAATAAGTAAATAAACAGCGTGTACTTTCAAGAAGCTGTTGATTAGAAGACCAAAAGATAAGGTCCATGATGCTTAGGAGCAAGTTCTTCTTCCTGTTTATTCATTATTAAATATTCCCTAGATCCCGAAAATGCGCGGCAGTGCAGTAGAAGCCGCAGACGAGGCGGCGGACAGAGGCTTCCCCAGATGCCAACCAGAGTGTCCTAGCCACTTTCTCAGCTCTGGACACAATGCCCTGCAGCACAATTTAAAGGAGGGAAGGTTTATTTTGGCTCAGTGTTTATAGAGGGTTGACATGGTTGCCTGGCTCTGAGGCAGAGTGGGCTGAGAGGGGCTGGCGGAGGACAGCTGCTCATGGCGGTGGTCAGACGGAAGCACAGAGAGAAAGGAGCCAGGAGATGGAGGGGCCTTCCCGGGCACGCTGTGGCCACCTTTACCCGCCTCCTAACAGGAAGCAGGCTTCCAGCCCCACCATCCAATCATCTTGCAGAAGCCCTGCCTGAGAGGGCGCCAGGCCTCTGGGGACATTTAGATCCAAACAGGAACAGAAGGGCTGGCGAGATCGCTCAGCACACTAAGCACCAGCATAGGCAAGCACCCGGGTTCCCCATGCCACGCCTACCCCACCCCCGGGCGTGCTGAGCTGGCCAGAGACCAGGCTGGTAGAGCAGGCCTGTAATCCCAGCACTGGGGAGGCTGAGACAGGAGGAGCACTACATGTCCAAGCTGTAGTGAGATACATACATGCATACATACTTATACACATATATACAAGCCAGATCATAGACGGCAACATTGGAGCCTGTTAAGTGGGGGACGAGGATACTGCAGGAGTGTGACGCTTCAGGCTTTCCAGCTGCACCTGCTTCCTTCCCAGCCTCGCTGCCATTGCAGGGGAGAATCTTGGAAGAGGCCCTCGAGCAAGCCGCCGCTGCGCACACCCAGCACACGTTTAGGGTGAGGGGGCGGCGCTGGCTCGGTATTTGGACTGCGTTTTATTTCATCTTGGTTTTTGTATTGCGGTACTGGGGATTGAACCCAAGGGCCTTTCAACTAAGCTACGTTCCCAGCCTTCGTGTCATTTTTTAATTTTGAGACAAGGTCTTGCTAGTGTCTTCCAGGCTGGGCTCAAGCTGTAATTTTCCTTCCTCAGCTTCCCAGAGTGCTGGGATTAGAAGCGTGAGCCTGAATTATGTTATTATGAACTATGGGCATCTGCATAGCTTTCATATTACTTTGGAGAAGGAACAACAAAGAGCAAGAAAGAAGTGTGTAAATTTGGAATCTGTTAGGTTTCTTTCCCATGCTGAAGCACCATTCTGAATGAGTGGAGAGCGAAGGTAGAATGACTCAGGACCTACTGGCGGAGGCACACACTGAGATGATTGTCTTTGATTCTTCTCTCAGCTGTGGCATGATGGACCTGTCTTGGGGGCCAAATGCTTCTTGGCGCCCAAGGGCTGTCTTATGTGGTGTCAGATTTTCGGGACATCCTGGTCCCTACTGCATACTTGGTACCAGTTTTACCAAGTTGTTAATAAAGTTACCTCCCACCATAGACTGATGTCTGTTGTCAGGTTGATTTTCCAGTGGTCTAAAATAAGATGTGGCATTCAGCTACTTGTGCGGCCACTACCCGTGGCGTGTGTACACCTCCTCCGGGTCTCTAGCTGTAGGACTAGAATGTGAGGGGACTCGTTAACCTTCTGGACACACGACTCTGCCTTGGGAATGGTGCGCGCACCCCCAGCAACCCACGGCCAGATTAAACTTTACATGGTATTCTTCTGTGACATCTGGAATTTTTTCTAAACTTCATAATTTGTGCAAGTTTTAGGAAGTCCAAACAACTTCGGTTCTTTAGGACTCTAAAAGCCCCTAGAATTTCCCTGGAAGGTAAGATTTAAAAATTGGCTTGAAAACAACAAGCGAAGGCATCCCGAGCGCTGCCTGCTGCCTGTTCTCAGCCCGCGCGGCTGCCTCCCCTCAGGCGCAGCCCCGCACACCCAGTGAGCAGTGTTTCCATTGGCCATTCCATCGGGGCAGCGTCTCGCTGAGGGGGAGGGCAATGGCACTGTCGCCCCTGGAGACCTGGAGGTAGAAGAAGGCTGTGTGTCCCCAAGGGCGCCCGTGACGCCGGCGGAAGGTTCCCGGAGGGCCAGGGGCCGCGTGCTTCTCCCTACGTACGCTGTCCGCGCTCTCCGCCCGGTGTGGCTCTCCCTGCAGGGCTGTCCGGGGTCCCCCCACACCGTGTCCCCCATCCCCACGCCACCCGAAAATCCGTTTGAGCCCAGGGCCACGGTGAGGGAGCGTCGCTCCTCCTCCGTTTCCTGCCGGCGGCTCTGCTCCCCTCTGGACCCCGCGCCGGCCGCCGGCTGGTGGTAGCTGCGGAAGTGTTGGCTTTCTTTGTCCACCCAGCGCCGTCACCGAAAGGTGTCGTTCGGATTGAATCTGGGGTGCTCGAGGAAGGCCTAACGTGTCATTCCCTGCTGGAAACCAGAAGGCACTTTCTTGGGATCTAGCTCCTGGGCTTTGGGCCCTTTAGGAATTGGGGTGGATCCCAGGGCCTTTGCCCAAGGTACACCCTCAACTTCTTCTTTCAGCAAGGCCTCTTTGGTAAACAGAGTCTTGCCAGTTCTTCTGAGATGCGCAGGCTGGCCCAAACTTGGACTCCTCCTGCCTTGGCCTATCAGAACGCTGGGGTCACAGGTGTGCACACCACGCCCCGCTGTGTTACACATTCTGTTCTCATCGTGGAAGAAGGCGGCTTGGGTGAGCTTTGGCTCCACTCGAGGTTCAATCTGTGCAGCTTGAGGCGCACATTCATTAGTTGATAGGAAAAGTGTTATGGGTTGTTGTGTCGGGCTGGGCACTGACGCTGCTCCTGTCACCCACAGCTGGCCAAAAAGATCCGTGAGAAGTTCAACCGCTACCTGGACGTGGTCAGTCGCAACAAGCAAGTCGTGGAGGCGTCCTACACGGCTCACCTGACGTCCCCGCTCACTGCGACCCAGGACTGCTGCACGATCCCAGCCAGCATGATGGAGTAAGGCCCCACCCTCTCGCCGTCGCCACCTGAGCCGAGCGCAGGCTTGTGACTGCGAGCCTCTGGTGTTGTGGGAGTGTGTCCCTTCCACTCACAGGTCACCTGCAGCTCCGATTCTTGGCCCCTTCCCTCCCACTCTGTCACTGAGGACCCGGGTCCAGGAGAGTTCGGCTACGGAGTCTCCTAAGCCCGAGAGTTGCAGAGGTTTTGTTATGTCAGTTATTTTCTCAAGGCTGGGATTTTTAGCACTGGGCAACAATGAGCCAGGGTCCTGTGCAGTCACTGAGGTGCCCAGGCTGGGCTGACACTTCTCGGTCCTCTTGCCTCAGCCTCCCAGGCCTGTGCCACCATCCTGCCTGGGCTGGACCCTGAAGCCAAGAACCGTGTGCTCTTGGATGCAGAAGCTGCTTTCTTTAGGGGAGCGCTGTTTGTCTTGGAAAGAGTTACACCGATTCGCACCTCTGATCTAGACAACATTGTCACTAAATTTTCTGAAGAAATGCATTCAGGTAACATTATAACGGTAAAGTATACGCACAACTTCTTTTTTTTTATACCAGAAATTGAACTCAGGGCCTCGTGCTTGCCAGGCGGGCGCTGTGCCACTGAGCTCTCACTGCAGCCCGACATTTCTTTTATTGGCCGAGCAGTCCGTGTAGCTGCACGGGGCGAGGGCCGGTGGTGCTGAGACCGCAGCGGGTGGCGCCGTCACCTGGGGAGACGGAGATTTAGTTTCCAGTGTGCCGTGGCTTCTGTGCAGCCGTGTGTCCTTCTAGTCGTTCCCTGCGGTTTCATGCCGTTTACTATTGGTGAAGACAGTCATCTGTTTGACTGATCTTCTGGACCTACTTAGAAGAAGTAGATCTCAGCACGCTTTTTCAAGACGCTCTGAACACAAATGGGGGCACATCTGCTCTGTTCCCCAAAGATGCATGAGACTGTGTGAAGCGTGGACAGATGAGTGTGTTTCCGTGGTTTGTGTGGCCTGGGTGGTGTCATAGGTGGCAGGCACCCTTGGCCTGCTATCTCATGTGGCCCTATGAGGCTAAGTGGTGAGCCCCCGCGGGGCGGGAGCCACGCAGCTCCCCAGTCCCGACCTCTGGGAGTGGGATGTGGCCAGGCCCCCCCGCCCCACACAGGGCTCCTTGTGGCCGAGGGCACCCAGGTCCCTGAGCACAGCCTTCCCTTGAGGGTGGGACAGTAGCCAAGATGGCCTCTATACCATGAGCATTCAGTGAAGGCTAAATAACCGTAAGACTAAATAAATAGCAGCTTGGGCTGGGGAGGTGGCTCAGTGGAATAAGCGGCTCCCTGGCAAGCACAAGTGCCTGAGTTCAATCCCAGTTCTGAGAAAAAAAAAAAAAGCAGCTCGACATTTCTGTACTGATCCCAGGAAATTGAGCATTTCGTGTTTACAAAGCAAGCGCCTTCACAAGAGCCAGTGGTTTTTATGATGGGGGACTGGTGACTCCGTGTGTTCGGCAAACTTGTCTTTTCTGGGTTATGAAACCAAAAACAAAAATCATGCTTAGGGCGAGGAACAAAGATGGTACAGCGATGAGATCTCTCTGGTGGTAGAACTAGGCTCCGCCCTTTGAGGCCAGGGTCAATGTCTGGACACACTTTTGGTTGTCACGGCCAGAGCAGGGTGCCCGTCCTACCACAAGAGAAAACCTGGCCCAGCCTGTCCATGCCAGGGACCAAAACCCTGGTCAGGACAGCGGGAGTCCACCTGGCGTGTTGCTGCCCGCCCCAACTCGGCCCACACTTCTCCCACCTTCCCACTCAGCTGCTTTCCCCACTTCACTCCTGTGCCCGGAGGAGCTCGGCTCCATGGGTGAGCACCCCAGGTCCCCACGGATCTCACGCCCCAGCATGTGGAGTGTCAGGTGCGGCCTTCCCAGTGGCCAGGCACTGCCTGCCCTGCGGCCTGGACGGCATCAGCTCCTGCCCATCTTAGCCCTGTCTCCGGCAGGCAGGTTCATCACTTCCTTTGGATCTGACCTAATTTAAATACAGATGAGGGCTGGGGAGATAGCTCAGTAGAATAAGCGCTAAGGTCCTGAGTTCAAGCCCTGGTTCCGCATAAATAAATAAATAAATAAATAAATAAAGGTGAGAGTCATGGGTGGCTGCCACCAAGAACCAGGTATGCTGTGGGGAAGGGGGCACACCTGGATGTGATGAAAACCAGAGAGCACATGCGGCGTGTGCCTCCCTGTGCACACCAGCGCGGCCCAGCTCGGCACCCAGCCCCACCAGAGGAGAGATCAGAGTTCTCTGAGCCTCAGAACACACACCTGCCTCGAGCTGGCCACTAGGAGGAGTGCACAAGTGAGCGCCTGCGCATTTACAAAGCTTTGCGGATCACCAGGTACACCAAGAAGAAAGTGTGGCTGCTCTGGGTTTCAAACAGCAGGGACTCAGCTGGGAAAACCGCCACCCTCCACATATGTGAGATGGTGCCAGGCAGCCTGGGCACCAGCCAGGCACCACTTCGCAAGCCTGGGACCACGTTACTGTGGAGACGGAGACTTCTGCTTGGGACACCAGAGAAGGTCTGGATATGGCTGAGATGTCCCCTGGAAGAGCGGTGTCCCCTGTGGGGCTGGTGAGGTGGCAGCACTGGGCCACTTCTGCCGTGGCTCCCCCCATGTCCGGCTCCCATCCCAGAGTCCTCCCTGGGCCTGGTCCAGTGTTGCAGGGGCAGCACCACCCTTGCCCCGAGTGGGGAGGAGCCGAGGAGTGGCCCAGAGAATCCTGGACATGGGGACACCGGACACCGGGGACACCATTGAGACGCTTTTGCTCCCTCACAGCGCGCTGTTGCCGGGAGGCCACTAGCAGGGATCCCGGGTGCGTCCTGCCTGGCTGTTTTCCAGCCATCAGCTGAGCACAGCGCTTTCTAAACTCCCAGGAGCCTCAGGACAGAAAAGGCGCAGCTGCTGGGACAGCCAGCCAGGTTCAGCCACTCCTGCAATGTCTCTCTCCGCCACTCCTCCTACGGGGCTCCTGCTCCCTGTGGCCCAAGTCCCGGCCCTTCCAACCCAACCCACAGTGTGGATCTCCGCACTCAGCTTGGAGTCTGTGCAGGCATGTGGACGTGTCAAGTCATGATCAAAAAGTGTTTCTGACAGGCAGGCAGGCTTGGCTGCTGAGTCAGACCGCTTTGGTTCCCAGGTGGGCCCTGGAAGGACCGTGAGGCCCTGGACCTCAGTTTCCCTGTCTGAGAGGACAAAGATGACAGAACCCACCTCAACAGGTTGTTGATATGTATTTAGTCTTTATTTTGTTTGGTTTGTTTTTTTAAGATGCTATTAATGTGCCAGTTCTCTGCCCTAGCCTCCAAGGACCTGGGATCACAGGCTGCAGGTGCCACCATGCCCCGCCAGGGGGAGGGCTCCTTAGATAAGACCTTGACAGATTCTCTGTGCGTTTACGCACACATCTTCTCTCCGGACGCTGTTTGGTTTTTTCTTTCTTTCTTTCCTCTTAGGGCATAACACAATGTTTCTTTTTAAAATAAATCTAAATCTTAAAAATGGAATTATTGGGGCTAGTGAGATGGCTCAGTGGTCTAAAGCACCTACTTAGAACAAACTAAGCTAAACAAAGCACAGGAACCCTGCTCAATCCCCCAGCACCACATGCCAGCCAGCCCCGCCCCCTGGTGGGCTGAGCTGCCCCCCCCACACTAAATAAATAAATAAATATTTTTTTAAAAAATGGAATTATTGGGCTGGGGATATAGCTCAGCAGTTCAGGCAAATTCAAGTCCTGAGTTCGATCCCCAGTACAAAAAAAAAAAAAAGAATTATTTTAAGGGAAAATATTAAGTGCTCTCCAAAATTGTGAAAGTAACGTAGTAAGAAGTGAAGCTCATGGTAGGTGGATGCATGGTTATTACCGAGATCCTTCTAAGCTGTGAGATATTATAGTTTTTGTTTGGGATTTTTTTGTTTATTTTTGAAACAGGGTCTCATTTTGTAGCCCTGGCTGACCTTGAACTCACTGTAGTGCTCCTGCCTCAGCCTCCTGAATGCTGGGGTGACAGGTGGGTGGGTGTGACAGGGGGGCACCACCACGCCCAGCCCAAGATGTCACAGCTGAAGGCCAACTTTCCCACCTCTTCCTGGCCATGTGCAGGTGTTACCAGTATAGCTTCTCTGTCAGCAACTTTGTTTAGTGAAATTCTGTATTGTTTCTAATGTTCTTTTTTAAAATTTTTTTAAAAATGTTTTATTCTCTTTAAAAATACATGCATGCATGCAGCCACACATCATACATACTATAAACAATCAGACATCAGGGGAAGGGTCTCCACTCATAGATCTGAGGTGTGGTTGTTCTCCGGGGCGCGCCCACAGAGGCTGGCTGGATGCCACGGTTGCTGTCACCAACAGCTCATCGTGTCCTCTTCAAGTCTGTGGAAGATGGCTCAGCGTTATGACAACACTTTTATGAACACCTTTAACCAGCAGCTCCCTTTAAATTTTTGCTTTAGGTTAAGCATTTCATTCCTGCTGATTAGTAATTCCTATTTTTTTTTATATTTATTTATTTTTATTTATTACATTTATTTATTGTGTGTGTGTGTGGCCAGCTCAGCCCACCAGGGGGCGGGTCTGGCTGGCATGTGGTGCTGGGGATCGAACCGCGGTCCCTGTGCTTTGCCAAGCTTGTTTCAAGTAGGTGCTTTAGACCACTGAGCCATCTCTCCAGCCCCATTGTAATTCCTATTTTATTTTCTTTACTGGCGCTTATGGTGCATGTATTTTAAAACTACCACAGGCTGGGCATGGTGATGCACGCCTGTAATCCCAGCGCTTAGGAGGCTGAGGTAGGAGGATCCTTGCAAGGTCGAGACCAGCCAGCACTACAAAGTGAGCTCAAGACCGGCCTCACCTGCATAGCAAGATCCTGTCAAAAAAGAAAGAAGAAAGCACCCCTTTCGGAAGAGAGGCGCTTCCGGAGCTCTAGCATGGAGAGTCTGTGTCACG